GAGAGAGAGAGAGAGAGAGAGAGAGAGAGAGAGAGAGGGAGATGGGGATTTTTTTAGGGGGCGGAAAAGGTGGAGGATTTACTAGCTGTCATCGGTAGGGTAGTCTTCATCCCTTGCCAGATATCTTGAGCGTGATACCCACCAATTTTCTGTCGCCAGTTAGACTACTTTCAACCAATGCATAGGGCTTGGAGTGGCTTTAAATTTGTTTCAAGGTCGTAATCAAAAGCAAGCGGCCATTCGGGGTACCGGTAACAGAGAATTTGGACATGCACCGTGTTTTTGAAGATTAAAGACTGGTTGCCTCAGATCTTTTAAAAAATAAAATCGAAGTTACAAAATGTATTAATCGGGCTGGTAAAAACTAGCTTATAAGGTGAGATGCGAAACAAATTTTTCACTCTAACTCGTTTATTCTTTTTGAATGTAGGTCTTTTAACGCCTACCAACGCTCTACTGGGCACAGTAGGATACAATAATAGCAGCAGTAAAACCGAAAAAAATGTACTTGATAAAAATGTCTCCCCACTCGGGAATTGAACTCGGGTCTTCTGCATGGTATCCTAACTCAAGAAATGCAGACGAAACATACGTGTCTGGCAACCTTATGAGATGGGAGGTAAAACAGAATATTACATACTAGTTGCATAGCAAAGTTTTAAAGCTGGACTGGAGAGGGTTCGACCGAAAAACAAGGGGTGGGTGGAAGGGATGGATAGACTTTCGTAAAAAAAGAGCAGGAGGATAAGTGACATTAAGTGCTTATGTATAGCATGTAATTCCCCTTCTCCCCCCTTCCACACACACACGCACACACCAAACACACACTCTCACACACACACGCACGCACGCCACCCGCACGCACGCAAATACACACACACCAACACACACACACACACACACACACACACACACACACACACACACACACACACCACAAATTCACCCTGAGGGAATTGGAGGGGTGGGTGGAAGTTGAACAGGTTGAAGGAAGCTAAAATAAGAATGATCTGATGTTTACAAATAATTATATTTATATAATACTCCCATAATATCCTCAGATTTTTTTTTTGGAGTGTCGATACTTATTCACGTTTCCATTATCAATGATTTGTCTGGTACGAGTGAGACAATTGACATAGCCCCTCATAAAAAGACAGATGACAAAGAAAAATAGGAAGGAAAAAAACCCAGCGAAATAAAGAGAAGTAGACTCTAGGTGAAGCAAGGACAGAGGGAAGCAAAAATTTTAAAAATAAATGCCTTTAACTGCGCCGAAGAGGTGGTGTATTTAGTACGAGAGGTAAGGTATGCCTCTAGCGGGGTACTTGCGCTCTCTGTTGATGGGTCAGTTGAGGGCAACTAAGAATAATATCTTTTGGACCCACCACGGTTCGTTAGTCACACATCAAATTTTTGAGTGTTTGTATCGCTGATAGAGATAGTGAATCATGATGTTGTTTGTTTTAGTACGGTTTTACGGCGCTCGCAACTGCATAAGGTCACATGAGCGCCAAGGGGTGGATGTCAACTGAGAAGTCCAAACGGGGAATCAGGCTTACTCTGCACACCTCTCCAGCCTCTACAGCACATAGTCTGCTTCGGCTATCAAGGCACCCCGGAAATAGCAGTTCATAAGAGAGTGACAAACATACAAAAGAAGTAGAGAACAAATTAAATGACGATAGCAAGGATGAGGAAGGAAAAAGCAGCAGTTCCCCCTATGTTATTCCGGCACAGCATGAGCAAGACATTGATAAATCAGCCTATTTACAATTCTTCTGTGCATAAAAACATGTTAATGTCCCCCCTTTGGGAACGACCTAAAGACAATTTCAGTCAGTAGCACTGCTCTGGTGGGGGGCTTTATGATGTTGGCATTATTACTATTTAGCTGTGCGTGTAGAATGAAAAAAAAATAGTATGTGTGTCACATCCTACAGGACAGACAGGCTAAACATAGGCCTGTGTGTGTGGGGGAGGGTTGGAGGAGGAGGGGGGTGGGGGCTAGAACAGAACAGTCAGAGTCTGGGATAAAAACTACAGCCCATAACAAATTGTTCGGCCACGCCGATCCACTCCCTGGGCCCCCGTTCAAAAGCACAATCACCTCTGCTATTCAGTTGGAGTTTTACAATGTAGGCTACATGACCTAAATGTGTGAAATTTTCCATCTCGTTTCTGAAATTTTCCTCTCTATCCCAGCATTCATAAACAAACACAGTCTTTATTCGAAATATACACAAAACCCCAGAAACAAAAACAAAAAAACTTCAAAAGACAGAAGACAAACAGACACACACACAAACATGCACTCACTCACTCACTCACACACGCACTCACACATACAAACAAGAATACACACAAACAAACAAACAAACAATCAAAACAATCTTACAGAAAAACCAAATAAAATAAAAGTGAATACAAAAGAAGGAAGGTCATGTCAAGACAACGCCAAGACTGCTTGTGATATTATGTGTGCATTCCTCCTGGCCTGACTGAAGAGAACAGAGCGTAAAATCCTCTAAATTAGCGAGTGTTCTGCACACCTCATTTCGTTCTGCAATTTCGTAATTTACCATATCTACGTCATGTCCTATTCCCCCCCCCCCGCCACCCCTGAGGACTATCTTGCTTTTTATACTATAGGCTTTTTATTGGAAGGTATTTTAAGATGCCCTTTTCCAATTCGAGTTTGACTTTGACACTGTAAAGCTACGTTAGTCTCCGTTGACATTTCGTAATATTGGGGCAATATTTTTTGGATAACCTTATATGGGTAATAGATCTATATAGCCTAAACAAGCACTCCCCCCCTCCAGGGGGTAAGCTTTTCTAGGCAAGCCTAGCCCACATATCCACCCCTCCGCTCCGAACCCTGGAGGTTTATAGGTTGCAACTTTATGTTTGTAATCTTGGTCTGTCTTCCTTGCATTGGCCTTTTCGTGTCACCGTCGCTAAGTACAATCTAGGCCAACTGAAGGCCAAACGCAGTGGAGTGAGGTGAACAAAAGTCTGAGCTTATCCTAGAAAATCTAATGTAGATCTAGAAAATCTAATGTAGGTCTAATATTAAAGACTCATATAGATCTAAAATTATGTCGGCTCTATCCATTTAACAGAAATTCACAAGGGTTCTTATGTCTGCTTTACAGCGAGGGGGAGTCAAAAAGTAATGCAAGTTGTTCATTATTTTGCACAATTTTGCCTCAAATTTAATAAAATTCAGCTCACAAGTACTTGCTGATATACTTTTGAACTCAAATTGTTAAAATTTAAGTTTCTTTAGTTTTGGCCCGAATGACGTCACATCAAAATGGCTACCCTCTTGGGGGTCTGTCAGAAGTAAAGAGCAGTGATTATATTCCTTGTTTTAGAAGGAGAATCCACCGATAACATCCAAAACGGACTTCAAAATGTTTACAAGGACCAAGCTCTAGATTTTGGCAATGCATATAGGTGGGTTAGGACGTATGTGCAATGAACAGGAAGAAGAGGAAGACGTGTCCATACGCCTATCAGAAAAGCATCGTTCAGAGGAGTCAGCAGAAAAATCATGGCAATTGTGTTTTATGACGTTCATAGGGTGCTTCTCACAGATTTGTTTCTTTTTTTTTACCACGAGGAGCAACTGTCAATTCTGAACCCTACATTGAAACATTGAAACGACGGAAAGCGAGAATTCGACGAGTCAGACCAAATTTGAACATGGAAAGAGTGTTTTTTCACCATGTCAATGCCCGCCAGCATTCGAGTGCCAGAACAAGGGAGATAATCACCCCGTTTATGTGGAAAACACTGCCCCACCCGATTTATTCTCCTGATTTAGCTCCTTTAGACCTCCACCTTTTCGGTCCTAGAAAAGAACCATTGAGAGGTCAACACTATTGAAACGATGGAGAAATCAGGACTGCTGTACCCCTACGACCAACCTGCTTAGTTTTACGCAGCTGGCATACGTGGACTTAGTAAAAGGTGGACAGTCGCTAATGAACGAAATGGAGACTATGTTGAGAAATAAAAATCCGATCATCAGTCTGATGCTCCCCTTCAATTTGAGGTATCATAGATTCAAGTGTGTTCTTTTTTCTTTAAGTTATAAACGAACTTTCATTACTTTTTTGACTCACCCTGGTAGTTTATGATTTAAATAATGGCGTACTGTTGTCACGCACAGGGACAGAAAACTAAACGGAAAGAGAAAGATGCAGTAATAGAGACAATGCCTATAATCTATTGCTCTCTGAATGTGGTTTCGTGAGTCTAAACACGACTCCGCGCATCGCTCCAATCTAAATCAACCGAATCATATAGATTGAAAACTGTATTCATTTCACTGAAATTCATAGGTGCTCTTAAGTATTTTTTTCCTGAATATCTAATCATACTATAATTTGAACACTAATAATGCACTGACGTCGGAGACAGAGACACAACAAAACTGATCTAAAAAGATGCTGAACTAGGAAAGCTAATTTAACTCTCAAACATTAGAGATCAGATACGTTTATGAATTCATACGTTCCATATCATGGAAATCCTGCTAGATCTAGATCTATAAAGAATTTTCATGATAATCGGCGTTATCAGCTAGAATAATATATGGGTCAACGATAGACCAGCTGGTCATGATATTAACAAACATAGTCTGCACGGAAACACCGCCTAATGAATGACAATGCCACGGTCGTGC